CTGCACAAAGTGTTTGATTTCCAAGAAGAGGAGGGGGGTTTTCACCTGTGCTGAAGAGAGAGAAAAGTGGGTGTACATCGCAAGAGCAATATATTGCTGAGAAACAGGTAAGAAAGTGCAGCATTTTCATTTGATGGATTTTCAAATGAAGTTATAGTGTTTAACACAAAACTCTCGTCCTTCTATTAAGAATCTGAAATCTGAAAACACTTGAAACCATCACGGCACACAGGTCACTTAGCTTCCACTATATAATAACATTGAGCGGACCACCGAATGAAACAAAAAGGGAATTCAATGAAAAATACTTACATTAGGAGCAACACATTATAACATGGAAAAAGATGCATTGGTTAAAAAGATGCTACATGTCATGCATTTAGTGGGGAAGGAGAGGAAGACAACAGCCCACATGAGTAATTATAACTTCTCTCATGCTTTAAATCAATTCTGCAGAAGAAAAATCACAGCAAGTGCTGATCAACTAAAAGTATATTTCAAATTTGGATTCCAACTAATAAGAGGGCGCGAGCTATTTGCCACCTAGTTTAACTAAACAAGTTGCAAGATTCTTGTTCAAGACAATGAAACAATCAGCTGATATTATCTTTCACAATATGAATAAAAGTGGGTATCAAAATGTTATGCACCTACATTTAAAAATAATTACAATAACTAATTTAAAATCTTAAGTCCAAAGTTCAACACCTTTGATAATTTCACAAAGAAAAAATCTATTTAGATCTTACTCTTCCCGCAACAAAACCCAAAACACAGCTTTTATCACCAAAATGAATCACAAAATTTGAAAGTAATAAAGAAAAAGTATAGAAGCAGGTTACATGCTTGTCACAAATAGCCTACACTATTACACAAAAAGAAAAAGAAAAATCAAACATGCTTCAATCCTTAATTAGTATGATCCATTCTCAGAACTAACTAGAGGGATGATTAGCAGTTGGGTCAAAAGAAAAGGAAAGTAAAGAAAAAGGCAAAAGGGAGCTCCCTTCAGTCCAAGCACAGATAAAAAGGGATGAATTTACCTCCCGCATCATTCACACATTCACAGTAGCGTATAGAAATACATATATGATTTCTACTGTGTTTGAATGAATGAGTCGGCAGCTAATCCAAATCCCTTCATCCACCTATGAGTGGACTGAAGGAAGCTCTCTTAAACCATTCAATACCGAATTAAATGAATGAAACAGGTAAATCACAAACAAATTTCTAAGAGACTCAAAACTCAAACGAGCAAATAAGCAGTGTTATGTGCCCAAACATTTTCATATTCTTCAGTTTTCTATAAGAAGATATTTTGGCAGATCTCATAAAAAAAAAATTGGGTAGATAAAAAATGTATGGTGATTTTTGAGATGAGAGTAGATATTCTCCTTACATTGATGCTTATGATTCAAGATCAATGGATTTCACATGTGGAAAGCAGCAACTCATTTGACTCTTGAAATCTGACGGCGCCACATAATAACTTCTCTTTCTCTTTTACTTGTCGATGTAAAATCATCTTCCAACACAGTGACAGTACCTTCAAAGATATCAATGTCTAACAAGATAAATTGACAAGACCAACATCACTGTACAAATGAAATGTATTTTTGATGTTTTCTTTTTTAATTTAAAGAGCTAATATAAGGCAAATGAATAGATGGTGGAAAGTAATATACCTGCAACATACCCTAGACCTAAAAGTAAAACAGATGTTCTCAAGTCAAATGGTTTTTAAAAGGCAAAGGAAAAAATTAACGAGATATTTGTTAGTTTTTCTGCCACTACTCCAATTGGCTGAATGAACCCTAACCCTAACCCGCTGCAAATCCAAGAAGGAGAAGCTTGGCGAAAACCTAGACTAGCAATTGACCACAGTAGAAAGATCAGATCACAACTGACAAGTCACAAGGACAAAATCAAACTCACATAGCATCATACAAATTAAAGGCGCATTTACCCCTGTTAATTGATGATCCGGTGAAGGAAGGAAAGATAGTCCTGAAGCAGTGACCAACTCTCTTTAACGTCAAATAGTAAAAGCAATGACATTATAAAACTTACTACTCGTAATATCCAAAACAGATAAACGTATAATCAGCGAAATAAATATTAACAACGAAAAAAAATACTTTTTCTCCACTCCCCTAAGAAAATCAATCGAAGAACCATGCAAGTGTTCTGAAGAAAAAAAGAGAAATGGAAGAAAAAAAGAAGGGAAAAAAGGAGAAAGGGGAAAGAGTAAGCAAGAATCACGGAAGAGGGAGAGGTAGTATTGGTTATATTAGCTTAAGTAGAGTGTAGTGTCACTCTCGGCCTAAGAGTCAGAGCAAAAGGGAAAGCGATGTATGAATGAAGATCTCTACAAATCTCTGCCAAAGAGAAACCAAACCTAGTGGCTAGTGGGGGGTTCTTCTCTCTCTCTCTTTCTTTTTTCTATACCTTATACAAGAGGAGTTGTTCAAAAGACAGGCGTAGAATGGTGTATTTATACACATATGGATAAAATCACAGTGTCTTCTCTTTCTCTCTACACCCCTCCTTATCAGGGAAAGAGTTTTGTAGGAAAAAGAAGAAAAAGAGTGGTTCTTGTGGGGTTTTCTTTTCTTTAACCATTGTCAGTTTCTTTTACACAGTAAATACTACAGTCTAGCTGGCTTCTACTCATTTTACTGTTCTCCTGGTAGCAGCCTTTTGTGGGGCACCGGGAGAGAGAGACTGATAAAATAGGGTTAGAATTAAGAATGAGAATAGTGCAGGTCAGTTACGATGTTGTAATTAAACAGGCTAAAGTGGCAATAGTTGAATTTACGCGTAGTTTCTAGATAAGTGTACTAATTTAATCCTAAAATTAATAAAATAAGTAAAAAATTATGCAATACTAGCCTTAAAATGTAGATGAAACAGCATAGATGGCAGTTTTGGGACTAAGGTGTCCGGGCACAGCAACGATGAAATCAAAAAGCGAGAAAGTAAAATGGTATTAATCTTGTATAGAAGGTAGTGTAAGTTTGCCAGAAAATTCGTGTCCTTTCAATGATAACTGAGCTCACTATTTGTAGTTGTGTCTATGGAAGGAGGTCCCAGGATCGTGTCCTCTTTTAGTATCAATAATGAGGGTCATTGATGAAGATATAATGGTGGACATAAATGCTAAATTTCCTGTAACGGGCCGTCGCTCTTAATGCCGCAAAATATTCTTTATTAAATGGTATCGGGCACTGAGCATTTAACACATCTTTATGAACGTTATCCCTTTCGGTGACAAGCGAAATAGCTGTGTTCGGTCTTTAGCCATCCCCGTCTTGGGTTCCAAGTGTCCTTCCTTTAGATAACCACGTGTCATATCATATTTTACCCGATACAGATAGTCTTCCTACTTTCCGGTGACATAACTTTGTGTTACCAGGAAGTTAGTAGAAACACTCTTTTGGCGGGAATTACTATAACTCCCTTTGAAGGCTTCTAACAGTTGATTAGACGCGCGTCTCTTCGCATTTAATGCCTCGAACACGCGTCATCCCATAATTCAGCACAGCTTTTGCCGATTATCGAGGTAGTCATGGCCATGAATTTAGCCACCAAAATTTTACTTATACGCATCATCCTTTTTTTCCCTTGCACTTCATAATTTTTCAATCTTCTGATTTGCACATTTGTTTTTCGTTTTTTCTCTAACTCTCTTCAAAAAACCTTTCCCTTCTTCCATTCAATGGCTTCTACTTCAAGTCGTGCCAGTTCTTCAAAGAACAAGAACAAAGCCGAAGACTATGCTTTTCCAACGGTGGGCTCCATCACCCCTAGAAGTCTTAATACCACAAAAGACTTCGAAGAAAGTTCCTACTGCTAACCCTCGTACATGAGATGTCAGTAGGTATCATTTTTCCATTCGTCCTTCCAGTATTTCTGCTATGAAGGAAGACTGTCGCTGCCATAAATTGGATATTATTGCTCCCGATCTATCGGAGCGAGTGACCCTTCCCAAGGAAGGTTTACATATTTTTACACGTTTCCTTTTGCTTTGCATGCGTTTTCTTTGAGTAGAGAGCTGGATTCCGTGATTGCGGAGTTTTGCCTCTTCTACCAAGTGTGTTTGGCACAAGTAAGTCCTTGTGTGTAGAGGACAGTCGCCTGCTTTCGGCGTTTGTGCCAAGAGACTGGAGAAGAGCTAACCTCAGCTCGTATGATGAATCTCTACTCTCCCAAGATTTTTTGAGAGGGAATGATAAACCTCTACAAATGCGGCCATTATAGAAGTCTTCAAACAATGCAACTTGCTCCAGTTCTTCCGCCGTGGACTTTGTTGCATCCATCTCTTCTGGAACTTAGAAATGTCATGGCACCTGATAATGTTCCAACGCCTCTGTCCCCGGGCTCACTTCTTCTGGTTCGGGAGTAGGTGCCGGTTCCTGTAATTGCTACGCCGCGTGTTCCTTTCCTTTGCTACTGGATACCGAAATTGCATTCATCACTCTTGCTGTCGGTTGATCCCCCCTTATTGGAAACTTCAACAATTGGTGATACGTTGAGGGCACAACTTTAATCTCGTGTAACCATGGCCTTCCTAGGATCATATTGTATCCCATGTCGCCATATACTACCTCGTAAAGGGCTGTTTTCATTACTCTTTCAGCGTTCGTGAGCAATAAAATCTCTCCCCGGGTCGTCACACACGCGAGGTTGAATCCAGCTAGAAGCTTTGTGGCCGGAATAATGTTTTCGGTGATTTTAGCTTGCTCCAATACTCTCCACTGTATGATATTAGCCGAACTTCCTAGATCCACTAGAACACGTTTAATCTTAAAATCTAACACATTTAAAGAAATTACCAGTGCATTGTTATGTGGTAGCAACAATCTGTCTGTGTTCTCCTCTGTAAAAGTGATATCGTCTTTCCGGAGTCTTTTACTATGAGTTATCGATACTTTCGTCTATTTTGCTGCCGAAAAGGTGACCCCGTTAATCTCATTCCCTCCAAAGATCATATTAATCATTTAGCGTGGGGGTTCTTCTCCTGCTTTTGAGGGTTCTGCGTTGTCTCTGTTACGACCATAATTGTTCTTAGCTCGGTCGCTTAAGAACTCTCTGAGGTTACCATTATTCAATAGTGTTTTCAATTCTTTCCGAAGATGTCGGCAGTCACTAGTCTGGTGGCCATTCATCCCATGGTATTTACACCATAAGTTGGGATCCCTTTTGCTGGGGTCAAATCTCATCGGTCTCCGAAACCGTGCCTCTTTAATGTTTCTCATGGCTGAGACCAATTCCACTACACTAACGTTGAAGTTGTATTCCGATAACTTGGGGTAAGAAGGATCCCGTGACCCTGACGTTTCTTTATCCTGTAGTGATCTGTTGTTCCGACCGCGATCGGTCCTTCTGTTAATGGTGAACTTGTATGCTATCCGGAAGCCTCTGCCACGGCTTTTAGTCTGCTCGTAGGGAAAAACCGTCCAGTCGAAGTCCGTCTGTCCGTGTCAAAATCATCTTTTGATTTTCTCTGTTCTTATCCTGTCCTTTGGTCGACGATGGAAAACCAACCTGATCATCTTTGATCCTTATTTTTGACTCGTACCAGTTGTGGGCATCCGCCCAAGTCGTTGCTTCAAACTCAAGCAGGCTTTCCTTCAACTTTTGGGAGGCGTCTGAACTTGTCGGATTCAGTCCTTTGGTGAATGCTTCAGTTGTCCATTCATCCAGGACAGCCGGGAGCAATATTCTTTCCTTCTGGAATCAGGTAACGAAGTAATAACTCGGACTCTCCATATGCAATCCTGAATATATCGGCCTTCCGAGCTTGTACTTTTCTGGCCCCAGCATGGGCGTTGATGAAACAGTCTGCGAGCATTTCAAAGGAATCTATGGAATGCTCGGGTAATAGTGAATACCACGTCAAAGCTCCCCTCGTGAGAGTTTCTCCAATTTTCTTTAACAACACATATTCAATTTCGTGAGGAGCTAGATCATTTCCTTTTACCGTTGTTGTGTAGGTGGTAATATGCTCCTGAGGGTCTGAAGTTCCGTCATACTTTGGCACTTCAAGCATTTTAAACCGCTTTGGGATTAATTCTGGTGCAACACACGACTTGTACGACAATTGAGTGTACTTCTTGAAGTCCGGGACCTTCAGTACTGGTGGTGCGCCAGGGATTCGGTCCATGCGGGCATTTACTTCCCCTATAAACCGTAAAAGTTCATTCTTGAAAGGATCGTTCTCGTTATTGAGACCAAATCCGCTCCCCAGCCCCGTCAGAGCCAACTTCACCCCTGGGAGTGTTGTTGTCGACCCTCTGTGTTGTTTGGTTTGCGGGAACACCAGAAAGAATTGGATCTCGTCTGTTTTTATTATTCGAAGCCCCCGACAGCGCCCGCTTCAACTCAGTCATAACCTTATCATGTCGCGTGAGATGACCTAGAATGATCGCCTGTTGCTCTTGCAAGACCCTTACCACGTCAATAACATGCTCCTCATCAGCATCATCGGGAGTCGACTCCCGAACATATGGAGGATACTCCTGTCATGCACCGATGTTGCGCCATTTCCCTCATTATGGGTCTCACTGATTGAGTCCTTGAAGTGAGGCTGATCTCCTCGAACCTCGGGGTTGTGAGTGTTTTTAATAGTGTTATCTTCCATTTCCTATGATCTTTTTTAAGATAAAATAATCAAAGCACGTTAGTAATAAAGGCAATGATCAATTTAATTGCATGGTTGTCTAGGCTCCACGGTGGGCGTCAAACTTTTTACCCGTAAAACGGTACAGTTGAATTTATACGTGGTTTCTAGACAATTGAACTAATTTGATCCTGAAAATAATAAAAAAAGTAAAGAATTATGCAATATTTAGCCTTAAAATGTAGATGAAACAATAGAGATGACAGTTCCGGGAACAAGGTTTTCGGGCACAACAACGATGAAATCAAAAAGCGAGAAAGTAAAATTGTATTAAGCTTTGTATAGAAGGTACTCTAAGTTTGCCAGAAAATTCATGTCCTTTACAATGATAACTGAGCACACTATTTATAGCTGTGTCTAGGGAAGGAGGTCCTAGGATCTTGCCCTCCTTTAATGTCAATAGTGAGGGTCATTGATGAAGATATTATGGTGGACATAAATGCCAAATTCCCTGTATTTGTCCGTCGCTCTTAATGCTGCAGATTCTTTATTAAATACTACCGGGCGCAAAGCATTTAATACACCTTTTTAAACGTTATCCCTTCGGGGAACAAGCGGAATAGCTGTGTTCGGCCTTTGGTCATCCCCTTTTTGGATTCCACGTGTTCTTCCTTTAGATGACCATGTGTCATATCATATTTTACCCTATACATAAATTTGATTTTTTTCCCCGTTTGGTGAAGAAATTCTTAGATGTTGGGAAAGCTCTGAAAACAAATCTAACTAATCTAGCTGCTGGTTTATAACTGTGGGAGTACATTGGATTTTAGGAAAAATGTACAATATTATTCATATACTGCCTGAAATTATTCAATTTTAATTTATAGATAAAAATATTTTCCCTCATGTTAAATTCTACTTAAGTGAAACAAGTTATATGTAGAAAAATTCTTTAAATTCAACAAAGATGGGTATCTATTAAGTTGATCAACCGATGTCTTTCTAAGATTTTTCGGGTTCAACTTGTATCTACAGATAGTGTTACGATTGTTTTTTTTTTATCAGGCTAATTTAACCTGCTAAAGAAGATTACTTGTCTTACTTATTATATTATTAGGTTTACTTATTATATGTATAATATTAATAACCTTTTACATGATGTGATAGTATAGAGAACTTTACACTTGCAGGGGTAGTTTGATTTGTGAAAAAGTTATAGTGAAATTATAATGTGTAGATTATAATACATAGATTAAATAATAATGAAATTATTTAATGAATATATATATTAAGCAAGTATATTGAATACACGTATAATATTAAGCAAGTATTTAATTTTACATTAGATAAACTTCTATTTTTAAGTTTAACCTTGGATTTCTTAAAGGAAATTGGGAGAAGAATTTTAGAGAAGGGCATTTTTGTTGTTTTACTATTTTATCCTTGGATTAGTAATCCCGAATTGTTATCCCACATTGACTGAGGCATAAAAATAATATACAATTGTGATGTAAATAATTCCGGGATTGTTTACACGAAAATTAAAAAAATCAAGCAAACGTAAGATGAAATAATCTTACATTTTATCATGGCATTATTATCCTTATTCTTGTAATTAACCAAACGAACCCACAATGTTCATGAGCTAAACTCATATTTTTCTGGCAAACTAGATTTAGTTATTACATATATTCTTAATTAGCTTGTCTGAAGGGAGGGGCAAATGCAGGAAAAGTACCTACGAGTCCCTTTTTCTCTTGATCCTGTTTTAGAGGTTTATTATTGTTCTTATTGGGGATTAATATTAATGTATGACGTGAAGATTAAATTATTTAAGAGATTAGACACATTTAGTTTTTGAAAAGCATTATATTTTCAGAGTTTAGTAAACAGAGGAAATTTGGTCCTATGTAGAAGCTGTTGACGGACCGTTTACAACAACAAAAACATATCCAATATTATCTCATATCGTGGGATATGGGAAGAATAGTGTGTACGCAGACCTTACCCTTATCTTGTAAAGGTACGGACCATTTGAACTAGAAATTCAAGCGGAAATGGTCCATTGTTTTATTTGTTTTCTTTCTTATCTTGTTTTGGAACAGAAACATAATCTTAATGATAGCACTTTTGGCCCCAGTTATTGGTAAATTTTGATATTAGTCCTTGTGATACTTGACTAAGGCACATTTAATCTTCAATTAATTGAAATGTGTATTTTTGGTCCTTTAGGTAGAAAATATTCATGTTTGATATATTCTTAGAACTATATTACAGTCAAACTAACAACATACAAACTTAACATAACACGTGCCTAATTAGGTGGTGGAATATTAATAATTAATTATGAAATATTCACGAATAAAGGGATCAAAATTCAAACGTGTGTGTTTCAACTTTCAATTAAAATGTAGTTAGTCAAAAGCGCAAGAACCCTAATAGCCATCGTGGGTTGTTCTATGTCGACTTGTCTGCAAAAGACAAGGCCACATTAGTGGCCAGCCATTTGCAAAACCATCATTATCTTTCAATTTTGTCCAGCATATTTGGTTGAAACATGTCGATCCAATAGTGTTCTACTGATATAGCCATGCAAAATGTTAGACTTCTTGAAGAGTATCTTTTCGTGTCACGACCCCAAATCATCCCGGTCGTGATGACGCCTATCGTAGTACTAGGCCAGCCAAATTCAACATCTAAATCAAATAAAGGGTCTTTTCTCAATTCATTTACTAATTAAAGAAGACCACAAATCTTTAGTTTAAATATTTCAAAATAAACGGAAACAAATACGCAAAATATCAAACACTGCCCGATCCCGGTGTTACTAGTCATGAGCCACTAGAATACAATCTGATACTGTCTAATCAATACAAAGTGAGTCTGATAAATGTAAACACTAAAAGATAAGAAGGAGAAAGGCAGGGCTGCGGACGCCGTGCATCTACCAGTTTCATTGAAAATTGTTAAAAACATTTGTTCAACATTTTCGATAGAGGCTCAGTAGAAAGAAGTGTGGAAATAGTAATTTCATTAAAACAAGCCCCTCGGGCAAAATATCACTCAAATATATACCTAGCCCCTCGGGCAAGCCTCTTAGTCACTCGGGACTTAACTTTCACCAATCGGCACTCACACTCACGCTCGATAAGTATCTCATAATAACCGTTGTGGCGTGCAGCCCGATCCATAAATATAGTTGTTTGCGCTCACTGGGGTGTACAGACTCCGGAGGGGCTCCTACAGCCCAAGCGCTATATCGCTGCGGCGTGCAGCCCGATCCATATATACATATATATAACGCTGCGTCGTGCAGCCTAATCCATTACTATCCTCACAATCCGGCCCTCGGCCTCACTCACTCA